ACACGAGAATATATTCCGTTGACGCGTGGAATTCATGTTTCCCCGTTTATCTCGCGCATTCTATTTCGACAAATACGTCGCCATGTTGGAAATATAGTGAAACGTTATCTCACGCACGCAGTGCGATGACACGAAACAAGAAAAATAGGAGAAACTCGACACAGACATTACACGAACGATTACGAATAAGCCTCCGCGTTTGCTAATTACACGTCGCCATGTCACTTATGTAGTCTTATCTAATTCTAATTAGATTTATATGTTTTTAAAGACCTAACACACAGACGTTTTTTATTATTCTCCTGACCTCGTGTTCATGATGACACAGAAGGAAATGACATCGTCATACGATGTGTCTAATCCAAACGCACAAGGATGCAAGAAAAAGAAGTATGAAATAATAAAAAAGTGACGTGTTAACCGTATGAGTCCTAAGCGAAGATAAGAATATTACAAATATCAAACTCCAAAGAGCAAAAAAGCAAAATGGATTTCTTAGGTTATGCAATCAATGAAAGAACATTTCAAAGTTATAGAGTAAAAAAAATGTCGTGCGAACACTGCGATCACGAATCTTTCATTAACTAGCTTATCAGAGGTACAAGAGTTAGAAACCATGAAAAAAGATCCTGAAATTCTAAAGATTTCTCTACGAAAATGCAATCCAAATGTAACATAATAAAAATATAACAAATTTATACATATTCACAAAAACTCAAAAACCAAATAAAACAAGGCAAAAACAGGGTTGACTATCAGTATTCGCTGCAGAGAATCTTTCGTTATCAATCTTTCGGTTCGAAAAACGTTAAAAATAAACGGCAGAAAACATTGAAGTCTACTATTCACCTAGTGCAGCCAAACTCCATTTTAAAAGAGCTCGAAAGAAAACTGAAGACGTTCGTACCAGTATTTCTATCCGTTATCCGTCCGTGGATCCCCGAAAACGATCCTAAAAGCCGTCCAACTGTAGACCGGACAGCTGAAGAAGCTAGGTCGACGCGAACAACCAATTTTTCCCCCGTGCCCAGCGTAAATCAATGGCCGGGGAGGCCTTCTAACACAGACGATAACTCACAACCCGTGTTAACAACGTTAACTCGCCGAGACTTGTCTCTCTCGCCGATGAAAGCCAGATCTCGCGGGCTACTGTCGGCCGCGTGTCTTACGAAGCGAGCACCTACCTTGATAGTGAACATAATCTCTCTGTCACACGGACACCGGCGATGAAGCGGTTAGGATGCAGATGGGTTGGTACTTGTGCTTCTTCGTCAGATGCTTCGGCTCTTTATATACACGACCGTAGCAACGTGGTACAGTGAAAGGGGTCATCCCTGCCCTCTTCACAATGCACTTCTTCTGACCAGTGCATCTTCGGAAAAATGCGGTTGGATGAATCGAGAATAGAGATGTCAGACGGGAAATGGACACTGTCAGACCCACATTTTTGACAGAACGTATTGCTGGATCGCCACCCGGAAATGCCACCAGCGTCCACCAAACCCAGGCTTGATAGGGGACCAAGGCTAGAATTCTGTGTGGGTGACTTCCGCTTATGGAGTGGAAGATGTTTTTAAAACACCTTTCAGGTGAAATTAAAAGGTAAGTCAGTGGTGGATTACGAATCTTTATGCACATTCAAAATTTTAAGAATAGAATTATTATAGTAGAATAGAATTAATAACGCAAACGGTTTTTTATGACAGATATTACATAATACACTACACTTTCAATATCTTATATATTTTTTCATATTGTGCGCTTTTCGTATAAGTTTGCAGCTTCCAATTTCCTATAAATGCATAAAAATTCGCAGTATAGTCATTGGTGAGAACATAAATGTGTGATTACTGATATTGGTATTATTATGTGTTTATTGGGTGTTTGGCAGAATAGGTGATTAGTTCCACACGATTAGTGTGAACAACGAGGTATGATCATGGGTTATTGTAAATTCTATGTTGTGGTAATATGCAGTTTATAAGATTGTATAATCAATTTTTCATTCTGAATAAAGTGAAATGCAATAAAGTAAATTTTCGTGAAAGAAATACATATGACGAAATTTATACAGAATTTTCGAGATATCCGTCGTGAAAATATAAGCATATACAGTTACACAGCGCACCCAAGAAACATAGAACAATTTTATTGAGAATAATACAATTTCAAACGATGACTTGATTGTTCAAGGTAAATAGAAGAGAATTGAAAACGACGAGAAACAAAGTACAAATTATACGTTTAATTTGTCTACGATAGGTTGAAGTGTATTCAGAAAAACAATAGTGTAACAGAGACAGATGAAATGAAGGAGAGGCGAGAAGATAATTGGTAGTTCGCGCAAGGTTCTACCGGATATTTGTCTCGAATTTTTCTAAAATCGAACGAAACACACTGCGATTGAATACCGAGCCACGTAAAGGGTTGCAGTGTCTAGGTCATGTGCGATTGTGTAGTGTACAAGTGTAGTGATTTCCTTGAATCGCTTGTTCACGCACGAACAGCGATAAAATCTCGCTGTGCGTATGAGTATGCGAATTATACAGGTGTCATTTGTTAACGTTGCATTCACCCGAGGCTGAAGTATCGAACGTCGTTTCGGTTTCTTAGAAATTTCCGTCATAAACATCCTGTACAAGTCATTCGAAAGAAGCCTTCCTGTTTTCGAATACACTTGTTGGAATCATGGCACGTTTTGTATAAATGGTATCCTTTTATATAATAATTAGACTGGGGATTTATACGGAAAATAAGGTGTCCTTAGCTTAATTTGTAAATAAGTTGATCAATTGAATATGCTAGTATTAGAGAAATTGAAATTTAATTAGTTTTTATTTGGTACTATGTTTGTTGTGTACGTCTTTGACTTGAATGTATAAAAATCAGCAGTCTAGTAGTAGTATTTAGCAACTTCTATTTTACCTGATATCTCAAATTTGTACTGGAAAGATGAATATAACGTCTAATCTCACAAAAACAACAGTGATACTATTTTTACCAAAGGTATCAAAAGACACTTTTTAAAATTTGAACTTGAATTTATTTTCTAAGTTCAATTTAGATATATTAAATTATTTATTAGATTATGCTAACTAATTTGATAGATTTTATTAAATTTCTTTTTGATAAAAATAAAATAATTTCATTTCATTCCATCGCAGAGATAAAACACCAAATCGATTAGTATACCGAAGTTTCACTTATATAACCACTCGTGCCATCGGCGAAATGCGTCTCATAGAAAGCGTTAACAGTTACTTCTTCGACTAAAAAATTTGACTGCAGGTAATAAGAAAACTGTTTTGCTAGATTTATTTTTGTTCTTATAACAAAAGGATGTTAGGAAACGAAATAAAGAATTGATTTTAGTACATATACTTACCTGAAAATAAGAAACTGTTCCTTTTCGTTACTTCAACAATTTATTTTTCAGTTTTATGCTATAATTTATACGGAAAACTCTAGTTTCCATATGACATAACAACTGCATTACATTCAAATGAATAAGTTCATAGAGGCCAAAGTTCCGCTCAAGATTTCAATGACTCATTGCCACATGCTACAGAAAACTCAAGATGACTTAATTATTAAATAACTTCCAACTTAAAATTCCTGAAAGTTCCTTGCTGAAAATGTTTGAAAGGTTTGGAATATTTGCAGGCAAGAAATAACTTTCAACCATGTTATACATTGTCATGAAGAAATAAAATTGATTCGATCATAAAATATTTTCTCATCATAATGCATCATTTGACATTTAAGAACTCATACTTCTGCTATTTATCACAATTATGACATTTCAGCCTTACTATACAGGAACTTATGTTCAGTTTGACGCATAAAATCCACAGTTGACACTGTTTACTGGTGGAATCAAACAAAATCAAACCTCGATGTAAATTGACTGTAACTCGCCGCAATATTAGAACATCAGCGTTCTAATGCATCAATCTTCTGTTTAACCCTGACATTTGCCGCGCGAGTTCCAATCGACGATAATGCATCAAGTCTCGTGGAATGGAATTTTCATGAATCCACAAATAATTTGAATGTCACATCTGTGAACTCGAATTACCGAAAGAATAAAGAGCGAATTGGTACAAATGATACAGCAGTAATTTTATTCAAATGCGAGGGTGACGAAACAATTCCGATTTATTTATTAAAATTAATTATATATAATAAGTAATCTAACAAAATAATTATAAATTAATAATATAATATAAATCGACATAACAAAATTAATTAATCAGATATAATCAACATATTACCACATTAAGTACTATTTCGTAACTATTTAAACTCTTATATTCATCACATTTAATTAATGTAAAGTAATTAAAAATAGCCTGGTACTAGATTTTAATTTCTGAGTTATAATCAACGCTAAGCTTGAACTGTTATATTCGACATTCTTATTATAATAGTCATTGCAGTTTCAAAAGCAAATTCTTCTTTCATAAGTCTATAAGTTTACGTATTCTATGCAATGATATTTTTGTTTGCCGATTGCAGCCTTGAATAATAGAAGTAATCTGTATGATGCTTCTTTGGTTTCTCGTTACGTGATCAGCACGGGAGCCTTATGATTCATTGTTGCAGTTGTGAAAACACCGAGAGTCGATTGTAAGACGAATCTTCTCCAGGAAGACCCAACAAATTTTTATTAACCTCCGTTCCAATTAGTAACGCGGATCAGATTCGCATCAACGCGAACCACATAACAAGGAAAAGCTATATTGTTCGGTTGTAACGAAAATTAATGCTTCGACCATCGATTCGCGACTTAATTATTGGAACGAGCAGAAAAGCGTGTATAATAAATGGACCTGATACGTCGAAATGTATGTACAATGAACATGTGATACGATCGTTTGCGTTAATTTCATACTGGGTCGAGTTAAATCGTGTCTTTACAATTAGTACAGATTTAGTTACATTATTAATATTGAAATTTATGTCATTCGTTTGGACAATGCATTTAATCTATAATGTTACCGTGTTACAGATAACGTTCTCTATCAATCGATATATACAATATCATGTATTAATAACATGTTTTCGTTTAAATGTATAAAATGATTCAACGAGTGAAATTTTTTTTTAAAGTATAAATTTTATTTTGAAATGGAACTAGAATTGTTGAGCGACTGTTAACATTTTTGGGAAAAAAAATACGTATAGAAATTTATCACTGTATATTTAAAAAACAACCTTTGGATCTATTAATTATTTAAAGTTTCTATTACTTTTGTAATTTAATGCATTTCAGTAAAAATTAATTTAACGGATAATGTTTTTTTAAAAGCGTTTCCTCTTGAGTCACTCCACCAGAAAGACTTATTAAGTAACTGTGTTAAAGTTCAGGAAAACGATGAATAATACAGCAAACAATGGAGAAAGCATTTAAAAATACGTTTTCATAATCAACGGAATTAACATCAATCCGAACTTAAGTAACTTCAGATGTATAGCTAATAACTGTTAATGAGTTTGCATCATTAATTCACAACCATCCCTAAATGGTTGGAAAATCAATTCTCGTGACAAATACACATTTCACTTTTAACTATTATAGTATCTGTATCTTATCTCATCGTGTTACATGTGTATCTCTTACCTATGTACACGCATCCTCAGATGATTATAATTAACATAGACAGACGTAGATACTATAACTACATCGAACGGAAACATATTAAAACACATTTAAAATACCTTAAAATTGATCTGTAAAATTTATTTACTATTGTAATGTTAATGTCTTTAAAGGATATTTTCTTTTAATAAAAATCTATATTTAGATTAAACATCTGTATAACTTAATTGATATTTATTAAGAATAATATTATTTAATATGTATTAATATTTCTTAACATTCATTTATTAGTTAAATTATTAATGTATGAATATTAATAAACATAATAATATATAAATATAAAGGAATGTAAAATAATACGAATTAATACAAAATTAAACCTTGATGAATCTTAAAGTTTATTTGAATTTAACAGGTACATAACATGGATCATTACATAAGTACCCTAGACGTAAACATCAGTTTTTTCATATTTACAAAACCGTCAATTTTGACGTAGAAATATGTCTGCAGTTTAAGACGGGTGTCATTTCGTCTGGTGGGTAGATCGTTAAAGGTTGCATTTCGTTCCTCACGAACGTGTCAACATCGAACTCTCTACGAGTTATTAAGAATTTTAATAGAAAATACTGCGAGGGTTTCATTGAATTCATTAAAAGATAGAAATAATATTAATCATTGTCACTTTCACTGGCGATATATACGCGTCTCGTAGATGCATCACGATCTCATCATAGCGTCGAGATTTTATCCTTTTAAGAAACAAACACCAACAGAATTCCAGTTGCGTAATATTGGAACGAGAGCACCCATTACGGTGTGTTAACCGATTTATCAGGCAGATATCAGAAGAAATCATCGCACCAAGGATTTCGATGAAACCCGTTCGTGGTATTAACGTCGGTTCGAGGTTCTGATTCGTTATTAATCTTGTCGAATGTACCCAGCCTTTCTCGCAGGATACCACGAGCATATAGCGACATTTACATCGTATCATTCAGATGGCGCGACTCTTTGTACATCGTGAAGTATGCACGATCCTTCGGATCAGAACCTGCCCTTCCACGAATTGAGGAAAGTGCGCCTAATAAATGTAACAAGTTCACCGAGGACACCGCAGGAAATATGTATTAGGTACAGAAATGATTTTAATAAAATTATTGTACTTGGTGCTTAATTTCTTTTGTACCTATAAAAATGAAACAGACACATTGCAATATTTAAAAAACAGAACATCTGTAATTTAATAATAGATATAGAACAAATATTGAACAATACATTTTTAAATTTTCTTATACATAGTATTATGATATTGTAACATGTGATTCTTAAGGAAATTACGGGGACCAATTTTTAAATACAATCTAATTTTTATGATCTTGTCACACCTTACTTTTGGAAAAATTACAAACGATCAATTTCTAAATGTTATCTAATTCACACATTTTTCGCAGAATTAATTGTGCAACATGTATTAAATTAATTGTGCATGTGGTAAATAAAATAAGATTGTTATACGATGTTCTACAATGGCACGTCATAAATTAATCCCCCGTGTTTAATTAACCTTTGATCACGTTGAATTAGTGATTTTATTAATTCTCTCTAATGAATGATGATATGTTCAGAATACTATATAGTTACGTTTCGATAAACTCAATGTCGCACGAAAGTTAATCCGTTTTAGTCGTGTTCTATCGAATTTCGTTCCGGTTCTACGCTGATTTGACTGTGTGTCCTCTTTTTTCAATTTAGAACTGTCCTGATTGGCTGTGTTTGTGTTGGACTGGTGGTTGTCGACTTTCGTTAATGAAAAGTTTAAAGCGTGGACGTGTCTGGCAGGAGTTTTTAACTGTCACATTGAAAGCTTGATACTACAAATCTCTGCCAGCCTTGTATCTCAATTACATATGTCTGCTGATCTCATTTTGTGCCCAGCTGTTTTATTTTTTTCAAGGCCAACCATGGAAATTAATTCTCATACTCGACCTTTTCACTACAAACAACATGTGAAAATAAAGTAACGACATTAAGTAATTGTGACTTATCCTTGTTTAATATGTTCTTCGTCTCCTTGAAAACTACTTTATTCGCATATACGAAAAAAAATAATGAAAACAAGATATTGGGAAAGGAGAGTGAATAAGAATTTTTTTAATTTAGATGAAAGAAAATTTTTAGTTCGTTTCTATGGTTGATATTTAAGTTGATATAATAATACAAGATGATCTATTGCGTGTAGTAAATAATTTAAAGGACAACACTCCAATTCAAAATAAGACGAAAATCAAGACTAACAAACTTGCATTTTGGTTTCTTTTTCAAGTTAATAATTAAATTTTGTTAATGACAGCGCAAAAGTCAGTTCTTGTCAGTGTCTAGTCATTCATGATAGCCTATATTCATACTGACCCACCTCACACTCATCATTATTAACGAATCGTTGTAATTTAAGTTTTGTAATATCGATTATGTGAAGACGATAAAGGAACTACAATTCTTCATTCTTAATTTTCCTTTAATCTTGGCTTTTGAGATCACATCTTAAATAATCTACAAAAAATAGTGAAATTTCTTCTAGTAAATATTGAAATCATTTATCACGCTAATTAAAAGAGACACTCCTCATGCTCATTACATGACATTGCCCTCTAATCTATTTTATTCTTTACATATATTTCGCAATCTCATTTTCACGTATTTATTTTCGATCGATATAACTTATAATTACAATGAGAAAGTATTATTATCTATTTTTCATACATTCGATGTAACAATTGTGCATCCACGTATCGATAATTTATACAAATGTATGCAAACGAATTCAGTAGTCATTTTAAGCAGTCCCACCGTTTTGCCTTTAATCAGCGAAACAGTAGGCGAACAACAAAGAGCGTATCTCATTGAAGATTGAAATGTCAGAGTTTTCAGAGCTCAACAGGGATCGATCGCCACTTCGAAACTGCTCGAACTGCAATTCCGTTTCGCGTCGGCTGAGCGTCTTCTTGCTTTTTAATGACAACCTAAAGGTCAGAAAAATTTTCGTTCTTACGACAGAAGGTGTGTCGCGTAGCTGCTCGTGGGGGCCCGTGAAGATCATCCGCGTAAGTTGCCTTTCAGAGGCGTCGACGCCACTGAATCTTTCTTTTCGCAGCACCCAGTATTTCTTTTAATATTTCTAACTGCGTTTGTCAGATCAAATAAAAAAATAAATATACCAATCTAAAAAAAAATTAATATGCCATTACATTTGGAGAAAATTTATTATTAAACTATTTTTCAGGATTTATTCTGCGAGGGAAATTTTATGAACACAATATACATTTTTATAACAATAAATTAATATAATATATCACGTAGCATATTAATTTCTTTTTAACGTCTTTTTACATCAAACTCATATGACGGAGTGAGAAAAAATAAAATATTAAACATTTGCTATCCAATGTTTAATATAGTCGATAATATAATTTATAATTCTCAACTTCTAACACCTCTCGAGTTAAAATAAAAAGAATTCTATCAAATCTGCGCTCTATGCTTCTGAAATCAATGTTTATTTAGTGAAACTAAACACGTTAAATTTAATCACTCTAAATTTTCATTGATTTTTAAAAATTTGATTAGATCTTACTTCTTTTAATTACACTGTTTTTCCGGCAGTTTTTAAGATTTGCGTTGGAGTTGAAAATTATTTAGTGACAGGCTCGTTTTATTTTATTCTGACTTAATGCAACGACTTTTTCCGTTTCTGCAGAAATAGGGTTCTTTCGGTTTCCTTATGAAATGTTTCTTTATATATTTCCCAACAAAGCCCAGCGCGTGAAAAGGAAACGAGTGTACTTGATAACAAAAACGAGGAAAGATATGAGAGAAAAAGAGATCGCCAAGGGAGAAACTCAGATACAAAGGAGAGCCGTCGTTAACGGTGATACAGTAGACAGGTGAAAATTTTCTCAACGAAACTGGAGAATGATTCAGTTATGAAATAAGACGAAAAACCTTGTTAACGAAGTTCATACGATACCGTGGACAACGTATGGAACGGGGTTACATTAATGTGTGGTGTACAATAACTCAATTGTAATATGTCTACATCGATAACCGTTACAACGTGTAACTAATTTAAAATATCAATGATCTGAAAGGTAAATAGATCCACTAATTAGAATAAAACTATCGATTATAATAAGCGTCATTCTAAGCAAACAATGCACGATAAGATCTGAAACAAAGATTAATAAAATTGAAAAATCGTTTTTTACTATGACTTTATGAAATATCCTACAAAATCACTTTAAGTAAACATATTCATTTCGACAGTAATAAAAATTCAAATTAAAATGTAACTCTCAATTATTAATTTAGAAATATCTTTAATATAGTTGATAGTGCTTAAAATAACTAACAATAATTTTAAATTAATATGCACATGTTTATTTCTAAAAACAAGCTATTTCTCTTACATCGTACTTTCTAATCGATTTCAAAGAGTTTGAAAAATAAGTATCAGATAAATCTCTCTATTGCTCAGATTATAATTACATAATAAATCAGATGCTTAATATGAAATGCATGAAAAGTTGTTTATTCGCATCGCGAATGAACGTAAAAGTGTAAATAAAGAACTTTCTTTTTTATTTCTTGGACACAGTGGCCAATACCAGTTTTCAATCAGTTGTGTGGTCATTAAAAAAAGAAAAATATACTCGTCCTAATGGTTGCACTGCACCATTCATGTCGGAACATTGTATCTGTTTCCCCGCGCATCAAAAGTGCAATTTGCATTCCGATGGATGAAAGAAGCGTCGACGGGATTGCTTGCCACAGGACACAGTGTGGCGAGTATGGGCGAATCATGCAGCTCGTTTATAGCCGCCTGAGAGAAGATGAGACGATCGCGTAAGTTGCGCGCGAATAGATACCTTGTATAGATCATGATGGACATAAACAAGACGATGATGAAAAAACACTACGGCTGCGTGTTCAAGGAACCGTGAAACGATACCGACGAAAATTTTATGGTATGGCGAACATGAGAGAGGAATCAATAAAATTTTATTCGTGCAATAAGTCACCGATAAAAAGAGTCTGAGTAAAGTGAGTACATGTGACATTTTAACTTAATTGAGCTGTTTCACATTTGCTTGGAATTTCTTCATTATCCATCATACAATATCGATATTCATAGTGATCATTGTTATCGTTACTTTTATCGTTATTAGATCGTAATCAGTGATTGGATCTGTAATCAAGTATTATAGAAACTATTCTTTGGAAAGCGGTTACCAAGGAAATAATGACCATCTCCGGAGCTTGAAGGCGACAGAGGTAAATTAAATATTATAGATCTTCATTTTTTAAGTTTTCTACTTTGGAACGTTAAAGTGATACAGTATAAATATATTGAATCCACAATTTAATTATATTACTAACTACTGGCATCTATCAAAACGAAGTTGTTAAAAAATAATTTTATTTAATTGTGACACAGAAGAATTGAAATTTATAGATAAATCAAAACGAGAGGAGAAAGATAAAACTGCAGAACATTCACACACAAAACATAATACTGAAATATCGAAAAATATAAAATTCTAACAAACAATATTTACAATGATTAAAAACGATAAACACATACACAGTTGATGAATGAAACAATTTAAATATCTTCGAGGAACTTAAAAGTTTGCGTTTGAGTAAATTAACAAACATATTTATCCTGTGAAATAGAATTGAAAAATATTTCAATTCTAGACTTACACCACTTTCATAACTGCCGACGTAATTAATACCCCTGCCGTCTTTAAATAGAATTAATCTCTGAATAAAGTCGAAGCGCGGTGCATGTAAAGGGGTATCCTACGAGTTTCATTGAAACCAGATACGCAAGAAATCTAAAAGGTCGCCAGATCGCTGGGTAAGGTCTCGTGTCGTCTAAGAATGTCGCGTCGGATAAAAGAAAGGATCCTCGTGTTCCGGGATTGAGTTCCGTTCGAATACGCCCCTGATCGCGGGCGTATTAGCTGTAATGCTAAATGTGGACACTCAGAAGCATGACGTAGTGCCCCCTAGAAACGGCTACGTGCCGTAGTGTCATAATGCGCGCGTCCTTTGAAGCCGCTTTTCAAGTTGTGTAATCACATTTAATAATGACGGGCTGGCGATTACCGCAGCCGCCTCGGCTTGTCGGCCACGATTTTACTTGATTTTATGTTATGACGCCTTAAAGGACGCCGCGAGGGAAATTTTCACGACTCTGGAGCCGAACTAAATCATTGCAAATTCTTCCCAGAAGATGGCTTGCAAAATGTTCCCCCTTCTCATCTTTTCTTTTCATCGATCAGCGAAACACATTGCCGTGCGAAGGAACGATTGAGTTTATAATCAGGATCAATCATACACGGGCCTTACATTTCCATAATCTCGCGAAGGTTACGAATGGAATTTTAGAAAACCTTTTCGTGCATCACGATGATGCATTCTGTACACTTATCGTGGTGAGGATAATCGTGTTCTGTTTGAATGAATCGCTTTGAGAAATTGTTTTGTTGGTAATGTTAGATGATTAATTTGGTTTATGGATGTCTAATGGACTTCTTAATGTAACTGTACGTGTGTATACGGAAATCGTTAAATATCAATTCTCGATTCTTACATTAAACAGGAGATATTGTAATTTAACTATTTGATAGAACAATATATTACGTATTTACAAATAAATGAATTGGGATACAATGAATTGAATTTTAAATTGTATTAGGTTGTTATATACATATGGTATTGATGATAAATTGAATTGAATCTTTATGTAATTAATATAATCCATAAATAAATCATTAATAATTAATAATTAGTATTTGATAACACTAAATTATCATTGTAGTAAAATCAAGCACAACCTTTATATTTTTATTAAATGCAGATATTATAAATTGTAAATAGTTTTATAATTCAAATTAAATCGAATATATTTATACTAATTTTTTGTGGTTAAAATATTTGATTGCTTTATTATTATCAGTAACATTTAAAATTTTACTTTTTTATATAATAAAAAATAGTTACATGTACAAAGTATTAATGGAAATTATATTCACGATCTTTTAACCACTTACAATTATTTGTTTAATCATGCATTAGAAATTATGACTGGTATCTCGGAAACAATTACGTATCGCTCAAGCTATGAGTCATCAGAATAATCTTGCTTAGATACGGTTTATTATTTAAACATGCATAGAAACATTCACTTAATTGAACATAAATGAGATGAAACAATCGGTTTTAATTACTAACATGCATTTTGTCACAGGCCAACCTCTCACTGATCTCTACGTTTGATTGATTGATGTGATGATACGCTAAGTGATCTGACACAAGAACCGTTTCCAACGTCTCATACTGGGTGTTTATTACGACAGGATGAAAATTTATGAACCTAAATTATTAAGAATATTTTAACAATTAGAATTATAACAACATTATTAATACCCAAACAAATTGCGTAAAGTTATTGTTTAAATATGCAACTACAAAAAAATTATAAAAGGAAGTAAAAGTGAAGATTAAGTGGAAACGATATATAGCATTCCTTGTACACTTTTTTTCCTAGAGGAGCAAAGTGTTTAACCATCATCATAACACATTAAATTTGTATCACGATTAAAAACATTTGAGACTCGATATATAATATAGTTATGTAATGCCCGATGCAGATGCGCAGTGCAATATCCTTGTAATTACTCAACACGTTTGGTCACTCGAATCACTGGAATTTTTACGATACCCACACGCAACATTTCATCATACTCATGCAAATTGAAGTTGTCTTATACCGGTCATTTCACTTAAATATTAGCTAAATAAAATCGTCAATTTCGCCAACTTAATATTTGGGAATTAAGATTACTGCTCGACTCTAACAAAGTTGCAAATAAATCCATATATTTATCCAATTTCATACAGATAACAGTGTATTACTCTTTATCATTTATTATTTTACGACACATAAAGAGAACTGATGACCTTTATCTTGTTCTTTCAGCTACGTAAGTGAAATTTCATTAATTACAATAAAGTATAATTCTCTTAATTGAGTGCCTCAGAATAATATTGGTCTAACTCTTATTCCTTAGTTTGTAATTTATATTAATTTTTATATTGATGTTAATTATTATTATATTGATTATATATTGATATTAATCATAATTAATATTATTATTAATAAATATTAAAATGAATATTAATTATTAATATTGAGAATTGTAACAGTAGTATATATTTAATTAATCCAAGAACATTTCATAAAAGTTTTTTTCTCGAAAATTTAGAAATAAGAATTAGACTACTATCATTTTGAGCTACTCGATGCATGAAAATACTTATAATTTACGTATAGTATAGAGTAGTTTGCGTAAACCGTAGAACAAACTTCCTGTTCTATCAAAGAATGCTTTCATGATCTGAGTAATCCCTCTTTCCATGAATTCGCGATTCCGTAAAAAAGCGAAGGCATGAAACAACAATAGCATACATCATCTGCGTTTATCTTGGTATGCTGTCTATGAATACCCTTTAATAACTAGTTTTTAATATCCTGCTCGTCATAGACTCTGATTATGTAGATTTACAGATAACCCTCCTTGTTTTCACGGAATCTTCGAGAATTCCGTGTTATTTGCATCGTCAGTTGCAACAAATACATTTCCGCAACCTTTTGTTGCTTTGAACTTGACTAAAACATTAATAAAACAATTCGTAGAATTGAATGATTAAAATTATTAATGTGTAACATTTCCAACTTTATTTCAATTATTTTATTCAAAATGTTTCTTTGAGTTGATTTTAACGATTTGAAATTAAAATTTGACTTTATATTAATATATATGTTTTTATCATTTTCATTTAATATATTTAAAATAATTATTAAATGTATCTGTCTGTTATTCTCTATCACTTTTTTTAACATACTTTTTTTTGTTACTTCAACTTTTTCGTCCCTTTATAAATATCTTAAGAAATGTTTTTTTTTCTTATATATAACAGAACAAAAAGTATAATAGGCAATATTTATTAAGGAATGTGAATAATTAGAAGCTGTTAAATAATTATTAATACTTCCATGTTTTTCAACATTATATTCAAGTTGTCAGCGGACCACATTCGTAACTAAAGGGCTGAATTATTTAAAAATGAAATGTTAAATTAGTAACTTCCATGACTGTAAACATTAAACTCATCTTACCACATAATTTAATTACCTTATCTTATTTTCATATTGAATGAAAACTAAAATACGCGTAAACGAAATATTATGGTGAAAAAAAGGCACTTAACTTTCACTGAAAAAAGTGAAAACAAAATTCTCCGATATTCATTCGGGTATTCACAGATATGTATTCTCAACCTCTCTCAAAAGAAAATTTTTGTGAACATAAATTATTTCACGTATAATTCTTTTTTTAGAATAACGCAAATTTTTGTGAATTTAATTCTACTATTGATTTGTATTGTAAATATTAAGATTGCTTTCTCAAATTACAATAAGATACAATTCTTCAAATTTTCCATATAAAACTGTATCAACACTAATTTTCGTTTCTGAACTATTTCATTTTCATTCCTTAAAGTAAGAACGGTTTCGAGGGGACGTGTTCCTCGCCGTTATCGGGAACCTCCTTCCCCAGTCACGACTTAAATAAGACTAATGCGCTGTGTCAGGCCCCCTTGAGAGTACGTTCTGAATTAATTAATTCAACTGTGAAAAGCACTGCACCACTGAAACAATGCAAGGTATGGCAAAAAAATACCGCGAAATCTTTGTTCAGCCAAGAAGGCTGCGGCGTAAAGATGGGTCAACCTTTCGCCTTGCGATTATGTAAGACCTCGGACTGACTGACCTTTAGGTTCGTTCATGGCATGCGGCATTTACGTAATTTACCGATTACGATGTATTAGAGTCTTCTGAACCTAGAAACTAGTTCTCCTTCTCGCTCTAATATTTTTAAAATACGTTGAACACATGTCTCATCCCCATTCTACTCGGCTGTATTCGATAAAGTATTCGCCCTTTGATGACGATCCCAGTTGTTAATTAGACCAGTAAAGTATAGCTAGCACTCGTTACGCATGACCCTTTTTCAGTAATTTCATCAGTCTTCTGTAGAAAGGCGGGATTCGTTTCGCGAATTGGGCACACAGTGTTCAAAATACGTTCTGCAACGTAAGTAGTGTCAAAGTGAAGCGCAAGCGCCTCCTCCCTCTACCGCTACATTTTTCGTAACGGTTGTTAATGAACTAACACCACAGTTCTGTTATCCCATATTCATCCTCTCAGCATACTACCTGCTGTTTATTTATCCCTGCTGCGCGCCACATAGTCCTTATTTACGAAATTATGTTATTCCAAATATTTTATTAGATCGTTACTTTTCGTATGAATAAAATTGTAGTTTTCTTGTAATCTAAACAATTTTTGTGCAAATATATCAAAACATTATAGTATAAAGAATTTTTATATAGTATATGCTATAAAGAATTTTTTAATTTATTGTACCTTTAAAAGAAAAATCGGAAGCGGCACGAGAGAAATGTATAAAAAAATAGTATAAAGAATTTTTAGATAGTACATAGTACACATAATTTTTTGATTTATCGTACCTTTGAAAGAAAAATTGTAAGCGGCACGAGAGAATGTGAAATATATCTGTCACTTCTTTTTTTTATCCTATATTCAAAAGAAAACTGTTTTATTTTCTTGTAGTATGTTCTCAATATTTTGATGAATGAAATAGCACTTCGTAACAGTTTTATTATATGTCATTATTTGAAATGTCTAATCTCCATATAATATCGTGTATAGCGATATAAATTCTGCCATTTTTACTCCATTTCGCATTTAATATAACGTGACAGATTTACACATTCGAAGTATCTTGAAAATTTCATTAAATGTTATCAAATAGTATAATAGTGATTTCTATAAGAAATTATTTATTTTCTTTTTGAAAAAGGATATCTTTTATCAATAATTAATATGTATAATAATTTCAATATAATAGTAAATATTAGAATTCATTCTATGTTCTAAGCATGACAAATGTATAAATAAAGATTTTTTTATTAGAGTTATTATGACAATTATTGTTACATACGTTTTACCTACTTTCAATTAATAAATCATAAATATAGTTTTAGTTGTAAAAAGCAGTCAAACACGTTTATTGGCGTAAGTCGTGCCTAGCGACATCTAGAAAGATTACCTAGACATCAAAACAAATGATAAAGTGAAGAATAGTGTGGAAAATAGAATTCATAAATATAAAAGAAATACTAATCTTATAAACATTAAAGCATATTCTTAAAGGTCATCTTTTAAGTCTATTTAACATCCTAAATAATGTTAGAACAAACAATGCAAGCTTTATCAACAAGTAGAGTCATTTTAGCTAGTGGTTCTCCTAGGCGACATGAGATAATAAACAAATTGGTAATACATTTTGTAATATAAAAATTTGGTATTAAAAATTCTATTTATAAGCATTATCATAACAAATATTAATGGTGTTAACCTACTAAAAGAAAGCAGAAACTCTTTTCATAATATTTAAAGTACATTTTTGAAGAAATTATAATAGCATTTTAGTAACCATTAATGTCTATACGATTTACAATTGTATATTCTTATTTTATATCAATGTTGTCATAGCTTACTGAATAAAGCATTTTTTGATGAATTATTAATTAGTAAATATGTATATACTAGGGTATAAATGCAGAAGTAGTACCTTCAACTTATGATGAAAACTTAGATATATCCGCATATAAGAATTACGGAAAATATGTTCAGGATTTAGCAAAATATAAAGTACAAGAAGTATTCAACAGATTAAAAGAAGATATTGTACCACCTTCTTTAATAATTGGTGCAGACACTATGGTTGCAATGGGTGATGTAATTTATGGAAAACCAAAAAATAAGACGCATGCATTTGAAATGTTATCAAGGTACAACGATTAGTTGTTATGTTAATAAGATAAAGCTATAAAAATTGAATGTCTATTATCCTGTAGTCTAGCAGGAAAAGAACATACAGTTTATACGGGTGTATGTTTAAAAACACCTAAGACAGAAAAAAATTTTTATCAATCTACAAAAGTAACATTTGGAAATATATCAGCAGAGCAAATAGAAACATATATTAAATCTGGAGAACCTTTGTAAGTATAAATTATTTTGTGTCTTTGTAAAATTTATCATGACATTTTATGAAATAATTTTTCTATAAAAATTTTCATGTAAAGTGATAAGGCTGGAGGATATGGTGTGCAAGATATGGGTGGTTGCTTTATTGAAAAAATAAATGGTGACTTTTATACTGTAATGGGTATGCCATTATATTCGTTAACAAAGCATTTGAATGAAATTTTCTCCAACAATTAATATTTTAATTTGTTAAGTTGATAATTTATTTTATAATAAATATTGATAGAAAAAACAAAATGGTTTATATATTTTTAACCGTTATATACTTTTAATATTTTATACCGTTTATATATTTATATATATTTTAGTTTATAT